CAGCTGCAGGACTAGGTATCAGATTGCTTCCAGGAAGAAAATATGATTAATGGCTCTTTTCCAGAGGGGCGACAATTGCAGACTTTCTTGGCGCAGAGTGGGAAATGTGCCTCTTCCCGCCGAGCGGCTGTGTGCTCACCGCGGCCCCCGGAGCAGCTTCCCAGCCTCAGGTGTCTTCCTGGTCGCGGGTAGCGGCGCTCTCCGGAGCGGGCGTCCGGGACTTCCTGTCTGGGCGCGGGGCGGAAGGATCGCGTTGCCAGCTGGGGCCGCCGCCGTCGCCGCCGCCCCTGCCCCTGCCGTTAGGTGGTGGGGTTTCTCAGCCCGGCGGCAGGAGGCGGGCCGGCCTCGGCTTCCTGTCGGAGGACGCGCAAGGATCCGGGCGTCGGAGTGTGTGCGAGTGCGTGAGTGTGTGTGGGTCGCACGGCGTGTGTCTCCGGCCGCGGGTTCCGCCTCCTCCCCTGCCGCCGCTGCTCACGGTGTAAGTCAATGTGAAGCAGCAGCTCCAGCCCCGGGATAAACATGGCGACGTCTCTGCATGAGGGACCCACGAACCAGCTGGATCTGCTCATCCGGGCCGGTAAGGACAGGGGAACTTTTCTCCCGTGCATCGGGGTAGCAGGCGAGGGGGTGCACAGAAGGCGGGATGACTCCCCCGCAGCGGTCTGTGCAGGGGGTGCAGTGTCCACCTCAGTCACTGGGGCGGCCGGGGAAAAGGGGGGAGTGAATGAAGTAATGGAGGCGACGAATCAGGAAGTGATCACCTTGGAGAGTAACCTGCCTCGAATCCGGTGCTGTCGCTTCGGGGTGGGCTCGCCGAGCAGAGGCGGCAGCTGCCGGGCGGAGCGCTGGCAGCGGGTGCCGGAGAACGGCGCCGCGGTTAAGTTGGGGACTCGGGGGCGGGCGAGTTGTGCGCTTCACCCCAGTTGCAGAGGAACCAGGAAGTGAGTGCGGCTGTTGTTTCTCGGCTGCGCCTGCCACGCTGTCTGGCCGGAGAGGCCGCTGCTGCCCGTACTCGGGGGTGGCGGGCTTCTCCGGGGCACGCTCGCCACCCCCGCCCCGTGCTCCTTTCACACTTCGTCCACAATTTCACGACTTCCGCATGGACGAGGCAACCTCGGGCGATGTCCAATGGACCGATACCCGCCAAAAAAAAATTAAAAAAATTGACCTGACCCTCCCTCCTCCTCCACCCCCACCGTGTGCAGCCTCTGGAGTAACGGTTCTGGAAAGGGTCACTTAACGTGGAGTGACCAGGACGATGTTTATGTCAGGGGCCCGCCTCCCCATCCTTATTTTGGAGGTGGCTGTTAAGAAACTAGGTGTATGTCCCTTCCCTCGTGGGCTGTTTTTTTTTTTTTTTAGGGGGGAGAATAATGGAAAGGACACGGACTGTATTTTGTCCATCTGACCTGGAGCGTTGGGGCGTTAGAGAAGAACGTTTATTTTTGTAAACAGTGGGTGTATGTGAGGGAGTGCGGCGGGAGGGAGGGAGTCTTGGCCCCAGGGAAGTCTCAGCACGGAATTGCCCCCTTTCCCCCTCCCCCCAAACCTCCCACCACAGCGGAAGCGCCTGGGAGAGGACAGAACCAACGGGATTGACAGGCCTGTGGTTCCAATCTGCTCTCTGAGATGTTCCAAATAAGAACGTTGATTTCTGGGGGCGGGACTAAGGGCCCACGCTGGGCCAATGAAGATTGGGCGGGAGTGAAGCTGACAATGTACGCATGGAATTGGAGGGAAGAGGAGTGTAAACACGGAAGTGGCCGCACGGGTGGGGGATGTGCAGCGCCACTGCTGCAGCGGAAGGGCACGGACTTAAGTTACATGGAAAAAGAAGCTTTACTAAATAGCAGACGGCGCAGGGAGAGCCCTGGATAGATGTATCACTGCTTGAGTACTGTTTATTTAATGCAGTAATAAGCATACGTGTTCCTTTCCCCGGGTTCTATTTCATGTCGCCATCGATGAGAATTGGAAGATGAGACGTATTCACTAAACAGTAATGTTGTAGAAGGTCTTACACTATTTTCCATCCGTTGTTTTTAGGTAGGGGACTTGAAATTAGTAGGCGAAACCCTGCGATTTCAGTTCATTTGGGGGGAATCATGAACACGTGTGTACCTCTAATTTTAACGGAATAACTTCCAAGTTCGAATAAAGTCTGGATTAATATAACTGTATGTATTGTACAATACGTAATGGTGACCAGCCTTTTATTCTATAAAATGTAATTCTGTGCTTTTCAAAGGTTTTAAAGAAAAATAACAGTTTACTGAGCAGTGATTAAAACACATTTGTTTGACAGCAAGAACTTAAGAGGTGGAATACAATGAGAACTTGGTTTTCTTTGTTTATGTTCAGCCCATTATTATCGTTAATATTAAGGAATGGAATTTTTGGCTTTGTATTATTGGTACTAACTATACTTAGATTTATTGAGTCAGTGATATTGCTATTGAGTATTGAACGTGTACATTTCGAAGGGTGTTCCAGTGGTTGTGAATACTGGTGAGAACCTTAGAATGCCCTTGCAGTCAGAACTTTGAAAGTAACTGTAATGTTTAGAGGGCTTAACTTTTCAGTGGAAGCTATTTTTTTCATAAGCTTTTGTAGTTAACAGTGAAACTGAATGTGACCTGTAGAATTTTGCTTGGAGTGGAGATAGATACGTGTGTGTGCATTATTCTGAGATAGAAGTGTGTGTTATGTGTGTATATACATTCCGTTAAATTCCATTTATATATACACACACCCTCTTAGATGTGAAAGTACAAAACTTTTTCTTTGATAAGTTTTTTAAAATCCAGCTCTACTGCATTTCTTTAAGATATACATATCTTCCAATTAAAGTTTTTTTCATTACTATAATGTTATGTAAAGAATATATTTTACATGTGATCATTTTCAGATTATTCCTCAATCATGCCCATGTAATCTGAAGCTCCCTTACAATATCTATTTAGAAGGAAATTTGAGACAGGTTTGCTGATTTCCCAAGGTGTATTCAGTGACTTAAAAGTTGGAGAGGAAAGATAGCCCAGGAAATTAAGATTTGTGATTCTAAATTTTTATTGCTGCCCATTTCCAGAGGATTGAGAGAATAATGTTTGTAGAATTTGTGTTTATGGAATGGACAGGATACCTTTCAGTCTCTTTGAGAGAAGTCATCAAATGCTGTAATTCTCCCTCATAAAGATCTCACAGTCTATAATTTTGAAGAAAGATGAAAATCTATGTAATCATAAATGTAAATAGTAGCAAAAGTGATTGCTGTAATGGGTTGATGATTAATTTAGAATGACTGATTCCTGTGAAAACTGGAAGAGATAAGCTTTTAAGTTGAATATTGCTAGCATAACTTTTTTAAAGCAAGTGTAAAAGCTATTTTGCTCTTGTTACATGTTAAGGTATTAGAAGATAGAGTTGTGCTTTTATTTTCCTTTAGAAGGTTAAGTATCACATATATGTACTCCTTTAGCTGTCAATATTTATGCTGTTGGGAGTTTCAAAACAAAGGATGGAATAAATAAGCTTTTTTTTGGTAGTGGTTGTTGCAGTTTGGCTGGGGCCCGGTTCGAACCTGCCATCCTCCCTATGTGGGTGCCCTACCCTCTGAGCCACAGGTGTTGCTCTAAATAAGCTTATTTATTACAAATCACTGTTACTTTAACATACAAAGTATTTTTGTGGTAAAGACTTGGCATATTTTATAAAACTTTCATTGGCAACATGATAAATGAGAGTGGTCCTTGACCCTAAAGTCAAAAGTTGATCTTTATCTACCCATCCCTGAACTAGCTTGGAATTTAACCTCTTTAGGGGTTAATTTTCTGTAAGAGGACAAAGTTGACTAGATGATCTCTAATGAATTTCAAAACTCTGAAATAAATGTCTCAGAAACTTTTCATGGAAAGTTAAGCCTTTTGGTTTCTTTGAATTGTCTTATCTTTTTGGATTTTTCTTTTTTTGTTTATATTACAGCATGTTTGAGTGAATATGTCTGTAAGGTTGTTATGTAATGAGGAGGTTAATTTCTTTTAGCCAATCTTTAAAAATAGGTATGCAAAATTGGAACTTGGGCTATTTGTGTATGTTTAAGTCTATGATACAATTTATTTCATATTTTAGGCTTATATCCTAGTATATATAGCTTAATAGAGAAAATACTTAATGTCACTTTCCTGATATTTACATTTAAGTATGTGTATTGTCTAGATTTTCTGGAAAATTATCAGTCTAAAATATCATGCCGCCTTATTTTCAGGTATATTTTCTTTAAGTTTTTTCTTTTGTTTGACAAATAAGATCACCAGTTTTGCTCTACAATGCAAAATTTCACTACAGGTAATGGGTAAAATTTCTTTTGGAAATTTAGCCTAAATATTATCACTGACAAAATGAATGTTTTGTCAAAGTTCGTTGTGAAATTTGAAATTGGAAATCTTGTTTCTAATTTATTGTAAATAAATCAGAATATCTAGTATTAGTTTTGAAAAGATCAAATTGAAAAAAAAGCATTGGCTC